AATATAAAACAAAAGACAATAAACATAATCAACAACAACAACCAACAGGACCCTTACTCCCCCATAAATATATGAATGTAACATGTGACTGTTTAAGTCACAAAGAAATATAGACACTATTAAAATGTTAATGCAGAAATGAGCTCTTAAGTCTTAAAATACCTATATCTTAAAATGAAGTTCAGAGGACATTCAAGACCATTGGTCTTATAATATTGGTCTAAATAATGACTTCCAGGCTACATACTGAGACCCTGTGTCAAAAAAAACAAAATACAACAACAACAACAACAAAAAGATGAAGTCAGAGGTATTAGTAAAATAAACACAAGTAAATGAAACTATAAATATGTGAAGCATGGCGTGTGCATATCATGTGTGGGGATGCACATGCACACACACACAAATAATAAACTAAAAAGTTTTTAAATATCGGAGAGATGGCTCAGCAGTTTGGAGAAGATCTGGTTCGATTCCCAGCACCCACATGTTGCATCCAACTGTCTGTTACTCCAGTTCCAGGAGATCTGATGCCTTCTGGTTTCTGTTGGCCCTGCATGGACATGGTGCATGGATATATGTGCAGACAAAACACCCATACACATAAAAGAATATAAAAATAATTTTAAACATTAAGAAAATATTCAGACAAAGTGTTCATATCTGTTATGCACAGACGTCACATATATTACTAACAGTCAAAAAAATATAATAATCTAGGCCCGAAATGGATAGATATAAAGCAAAAAAGTTACTACCAAAGAGAAAAATTTAACCTTGAGCATACTAGAAAATCAACTGAAATAAAAACAAAATGTCATTTTACAGTAGTAATAGCACATTATAACTGTCATCCTTTTCGTTTGCTTGTTTTGAAATATAGAGTCATGCCGGGTGGTGGTGGCGCACACCTTTAATCCCAGCACTTAGGAGGCAGAAGCAGGCTGATCTCTGTGAGTTCAAGCCCAGCTTGGTCTACAAAGTGAGTTCCAGGACAGCCATAACTACACAGAGAAACCCTGTCTCAAAAAAATAATAGTAATTAAAAAAAAGAAACATAGAGTCACTCTGTAGCCCAGGCTGGCCTCAACTTGGAGTCCTCCTGCCTCAGCCTCCTGCCTGCTAGGATTACAGGCATGTGTCCTCATGTCTCATGTTCTACTTTGCTTCTCTGTTGCTGTGATGAAACACTGACCCAAAACAACATGGGGAGGAAAGGGCTTATCTGGCTTACAGGTTACAGTCCATCATCATCAGGGGAAGCCAGGGCAGAGACTCAAGGCAGGAACCTGGAGGCAGGAACTGGAGCAGAACCACGGAGGAACACTGCTTACTGGCTTGCATTTTAGCTGATTCCAGATCCAGTCAAGTTGACAACCAAGATCAGCCACCATACCTGGCTATAACTGTCATTAGTAATGACCGCCTGCTTCTTACTCTACTATATTCTGGTCAGAAGGACCAAATCAGAACAAAATCCAGAAATTGTCATACTTAGAAGAAAAATATACACATACATTTGGAACATTTGATAAGAAGTGAGTATATCTACACTGATCCAGAGACACTCAAGTCTGAGAATTTATCCCAAGGGAATTCCTTAAAAGAAAGAAGAAACAAAACAAAACAACCCCACAAGCACAAAGACAAAACTGTTTATAGCGGATGGAGAACTATAAACATGTGAAATAGTTTACAATAGAGATGGTCACACAGAAGGAAATATGAACCATTCAGCTGTAAATATGAAATCTAAATACATCTAGTTATGATAACTTCAGTGAAACAAATCTTTAAAAGGAAGTTATATCTACACCATCAAATTGACTTAGGAAAAACAATAGATACTGGAAAGAATAAAACTGTGATGGGGCTATGTATAAAAGCTTCTTAAAGGATTTCTTTACTTTGTGTGTATGAGTGGTTTGCATGCTTATGCACCATATAGGTGCCTGATGTTGGAGGAGGCAAACAGAGGGTGTTGGCTCCCTGGAACTATAGTTACAGACAGTCATGAGCTGTCATGTGGGTGCTGGGAAGTAAGCCCATGTCCTCTGCAAGAGCAGCAAGTGCTCTTAACTGCTGGGCCATCTCTCCAGCCTCATGTATAGAAAATCTTAAGAGGTTTTTCTAGTGTTTTGATAAAAAAAAAATTACAAGTGAAGAGGATACATTTAGAAGGACACCTCTAAATATGGTTAGTGTTTTGTGAGTATGCATATTTATAAACATATGTGGTTTAAATCCATGTATGTGTACAGAGGGTAGAGGAAGATGTTGGGTACTCTTGCTCTGGCATTCTTTATCTTGCACCTTGAGGTTTCTGGAGGTAAACTGCAGCCAGCTAACCATATCAGCCCTCCTGTGTCCATTCCTTACAGCTCTGATGTTACAGACATGCATTGTGGCCACAACTGGATTTTTATGTGCGTGTTGGGGATTCAAACTCAGAACCTCATGCTTGTAGAATGAGCACACCCACCCCTGAGCCTTCTCCCTAACTCCAAGATGGGTGGTTTGTTGGTTTGTTTGTTTTGGCTTCGTAAGGCAGGGTCTCCCTACATAGCCTTGGCTGTCCTGGAACTCACTCTGTAGACCAGGCTGACCTTGAACTCACAGAGATCCTCCAGCCTCTGCCTCCAGACTGCTAGGATTAAAGGCATTTGCCACCACACCCGGCTCAAGATGGTTAATATTTTAAAAATAATTTAGCCTTTAAAAATGTTTTCCTAGAGATTTTACCTCTGGGAGCCTTGTTAATGCTGAGTAGGTATTAGTCATTGTATTTCAGCCCAGAATTTTTCATTCCCCAGTGATGCCCAGAGTAATCTCACATGGCAATTTATAAGATGACTGACACTGGCCATGGACAGTGTGAGGGGGAGTGTGCCTTTCCAAAGGTGCTCTATGAGGCCTGGGACCCACTAGAACCCACAGGAGAAAGGCAGAAGTTTCCAGAAAGTGGTCTTGCAGTCACTGTCCTGCTCCCCATGAGCTGGTCTCCTCTGGATTAGTTTATTTAAAATAAAATGAAGCTAAAACATGTTTGATAACTGCTCCTGGGATGGCTAACCACATGATGACGTCAGTAGCTCTTGGGGCCTCAGTTTCCTAACAGTCAATGAAAGCAGACATCCCTGCTTCTTAGTTTCCTGGGAGAAGATTGAATCAGAGTCCCAAATGACTTAGTCTGCAAAATGCTAGAGAGAATTTACTGAGATGACATGAAAAGAAGTAGGGTAAAATATTGTACGGTCTCGTTTATGTGAGGGACCTAGAGAAGGCACCATCCACACAAACAGGAAGTGGCATGGTGGCGGCCAGGGGCTGGGGGAGCGGCATGGGCAGCTGGTGTCTTGTGGGTATGGAGCTGCAATTGGGGAAGATGAAAAGGCTCTGTGGATGGACAGGGGTGACGACTGCACAATAGACCATGACTGGACTCAAAGCCACTGAACACATGCTGAGAATGATTAAAACAGTGAAGTTAATGCCACATATGTGTTATATATAACACTGTATACATCACCACTTAACAGATGACTAAATGCCAACAAAAGCAAAGATAAGATCTAGACATAAATACAAAATCAGCCAGGAAAGGGGGGATTTTAGAGCAGGCAGACTTACCCACTGCTTTAAGACACAGGTACAACGATTCAGAGGGCAGGGGTGACGGCAACAGAGCATATACAAAGCACAGGGGCAAGGTGGTGAGTGTCCACAGGGTACAGGCCTGGGGAAGAGGGAAGGACAGGGAGCCTGCCCTTCTAGAAGTACCCTTCCGAACACATTCTTTCTCCTTTGCCCATCATGAAGCACTCTGGTTATAGGTCTATTTTATGCAACTATCTCAGAAACTCCTCTGTGAACTCTTTTACAACCTCATCCATTTGATCCTTCATAAATACTTACTCAGGGCCTATTAGTGCCAGGCACCATTGTAAGCATGCAGCCTACAATATGTGTGAAGACACACGTGTGTACACATAGACTGACTCTTGTGGCCTCTAGGGATCGCAACATGTACCAGGTGCTGTCCTAGGTACACTGTAAATATGCTAATTCATGTACTCTCCTTGATAATGTTCATGGCAACTGTGACAGCCCGTGTTACAAGGTGTGAGTGGGGATTGGGTCTGGTGAGGCCGACAGCTTGTTCAGTCAGCAGCAGAGCCAGGGTGAACAGCTGGGGCTCACACAGGGACATGGGCGAACTCAAGGGAAGAACAGACTAAGGCGGGAACAGGGAGGGTCCGGCCTCTTGCCTTATTTTCAGAGAAGTGTGGTAGAGTGTGGGGCAGTGGAAGCAAAGCCCTGGAGGGCAGGGCTGGGTTATGGACTTTGCGGTGACAGCAGATTAGAAAGAGAGAGCGCTGGTGTCTTGGAAAGAGGAACCGATCTATTTGGGTGGCTTCCTGGGTGTGAGGGGGAAGGCAATGCCAAAAGTTCAGGCCTGGGGCACTTTCCAGACCCACTGTCATTAGCAGGGCTGGGGTGGCAGGAAGGAGACAGGCTTGGGTACGCTCTGCCTCAGTGGGCTGTTCAATGGGCTTCCCCAGATGGGAAATCTGGTGTTCGCATGTGGAACACCCTTGACTCAGTGGACTAGCCAGTCCTGGGAGGGCACACAGGGAGGGCAAGCGGGGTGGGGGAGGTGGGGGTGGTGGTGTTGGGGGGGGCAAGAAGGGAGGGCACGCAGGGAGGACAAGCGGGGGGGTATTGGGGGGCAAGAAGGGAGGGCAAGCAGGGGGGCAAGAAGGGGGGCAAGTGGGGGGAGGGGTGGCAAGCGGGGAGGGCAAGCAGGGAGGGCAAGGGGGGGCAAGCGGGGAGGGTAAGCAGGGGAGGCAAGCGGGGGGGGGGCAAGAAGGGAGGGTAAGCAGGGGGGCAAGCAGGGAAGGTAAGCAGGGGGGACAAACAGGGGGGTAAGCAGGGGGGCAAGCAGGGAGGGCAAGCAGGGGGGGGTAAGCAGGGGGGTTAAGCAGGCCCCAGCAACCTACCTTTGTCCTGCTCTGCAGCTTCACTCAGTTCGGGAAGCTTGAACCCCACCAGGTTCTGGTTTCTCATCATGATGTGTTCCTTGGTGAGAAGGAGAACAGACACAGTTCAGACTCTTCTCTCTGTTCCCTACGGCTCTGTTACCACTCAGCCTCAGGTGGGTTTCCAAGGACGAAGGCCAGAGTAGGTAAGTTGGCATGACGTGGTATGGGGAGGCCAGAGGGGCACAAGGTCCTCTCCCGGCCCATAAAAGGGCCTGAAATCCCACCATTTGTGCCACACTCATCGTGTTAAGAACCACCTCCCACACAACTTGCTTGTAAGTTCTGGGCCTCCGGGGAAATGAACTGCCCGGCCTTACTGTGAGGGCTGTGTAGGGACTGTGGAATCCTCAGGGACTAAGGACTTTGACACTAAGGTCCTGAATATGCATGCAGCTGCTTCTGGGAGCAATTATTGAAGGACTCATAACTGGCAGTGGCTTCCTGCCCTCCTCTTCTGTTAAGTGATAGTCCTTCTTCAATGACCTTTGTGGCCTGAGAGTCTGCCTGGGGGACTGAGCAGGCGGAGCTAGGGTGAGGGTGTTGTGGACCCAGCAGGCCACTCTTGCTCCAATTCCTGTCAGACTAGAGCCCTCTAGTGGGATCCTGGTGCCATCCAAGGGTTTTCAGCCTCCTGGTGACAGAAGCCACTTGAGTGACTGGCCTCTGAGTAAAAGAGGAAAGAAAGAGGCCAAGAGAGAGCACTCAGGAGCCAACAGAGCCCGGGCCATGCCCTTGCTGACATACTTAGCAAGCCAGAGGTCCAGAGGTCCAGAGCCCCTCAGCGGTCAGCACAGCGGACAGGGTGCAGAGTGTGCGCTGGCCACCGTTGCCAGACCAGCTGGGGGCATGAGCGGCTGGGCTCTCTGCAACTTCCTTGGCTGAGAGAGTGACCTGAAGGGGTGTGGGGAGTTCTGAGGGAGTGGCTTACTCTCCCAGCATTTGAAGAGAATGATGGTGAACCCCCAGATGTCTGCCCACTTCGTTTCCTCTTGCCTTCATCACAGATGTGGGGTGAGGCCCACTGTGGGTGGCTCTGCCGGACCTTGTTCTAAGCTACCAGGTACCGTGGGCTCCAGAGTGGAGGATGGGGGTTCTATGTGGAGTGTTCATCTTCCTAAGCCTCCACCCCAAAACATCAGAGAAGATCAAGATTCTATCTATCTATCTATCTATCTATCTATCTATCTATCTATCTCTCATCTATATCTATGACTGGCTTCAAAGTCACTATATAGCTGAACATGACATTGAATTTCTGATCCTCCTGCCTCTGCCCCTTGGGTGCTGGCATTATAGGCCTGAACTACCACCACACAAGGTTTTATGCGATTCTGAGAATGCAGATCTTTGTGCATGCTGGTATGCACACACTCACTCTACAACTGAGCCACTTCCTCAGCCTCAGGGAGGCTCTCTGGACAGCACAGTGGCCTGTTGGGATGTGTCCTTGCTAGTGGAGATATTCCCATTGGAGCTGGAGCCCTTCAGACCCTCACTTCCTCTCCCCAGTAGAAGAGCCAGGGGATGGTGTCCTTCTCCATGCCCTAATCTATAGGATCTCAGTCTCCTTGACCTGGATTGAGGTTGGCCTTCTGAGAGAGAAGGGACTGAATCAGGACTATTTTAATCCAGTTAACCCCTCCCTTTTACAATCTGGCCTCTCCTTCCTCCTCCACAGTCACACATTGTATAGCAGGGCAGCCCCCTGACTGACCACTGTCCTAATTTGATGACCAATGGAAGTTGAGGACACTGAAAGAAATTCACCATGGAAGAGCAGCCCCTTGTAGACATCATCATAGTGGTCCTTGAGTCTAAGGTCCTTGGTTAATAGGTACCAGGAGGGCAGGCTGGATGCCATTACAAAAGAAAAGCCTGCTTATGCTGGTCTTGCCCAAGTCTAGGCATGACCAGATACTCCATCAAAGGCTCTTGCCCCTAGATCTAGCTGGAGGAGGAAGACAGCCCTGGATAAGGATTCCATATGGCCAGCTTCCCCTGAGCATGGCTAAGTGTGACTTCTATCTATTAACAAGAGCCAAAGGCACCTGAAGGTGCTGCTATGGAGATGTGACACTGACAGAACCGGCTTCTCAGGGTCAAGTTTGGGACTCCCTGAGGTCCAAGCTGCCCTGTCTCAGGGCGCAGCCTGAGTACAAAAGTCTGTAGCTCATGGGGGACCTGGCATGCACACACTGTGCATGGGGGCAGGAACCCACCTCCCGAAGCTTGGTCAGTTTCTGCATGCGCACAGGCTGAACTTGTATCTGGAAGTCTTTGAGCCCAGGTGGCTTGGCTGGTTTGGCTTTGCCTGGAAACCGCTTCTCTTCCTCCGACAGAGGCAGCTTGGCAAGTACCTTCTGCAGCAGGGGACCAGGTTCGTCAGGGCTGCTGTCCCAGGAGACTCCCCGTATCAAGGGGGGCCGGCACACAGGGGGCCGCAGTTCAGCTTTGGGGCCAGCCTTGGGCCCCACAGGCTCTCCAGCAGAGCCTTGTCCCTGGGGATGTGGAGAGACAGTTCCTCCTGAGCCTGGTACTGTGCTTCTGGGCAGAGGGCTGCCTTCCCTGGCTGTCTTCAGGAGCTGCCTCCCCAGCTCCATCTCGGCAGGGCCAGGCTGGGGGCTGTTCAGGGCCATTTTCCCACTGATGCTCGCTCCAGAAGCCTGAGCCATGGGTGTGGCCTCCGGATGCTGAAGGGGGTCAAAGTTTTCCTTTTGTTCTACTGTAAGTGCTTTGGATTTCTCCACTGTGGGAGAGCGGGGAGCCAGTCTGCCTTGAGACACTTTCCTCTGGTCATTCTGCTTCCGGTCGGCTAGCCCTTTGGAGACATTCTGAAAGAGACAGGTAGTGTTGGGATCCTGGAGGCAGGCTGAGGAGACTCAGACCTTGACAAGAGGCCTATTTATGTATATGCAAATGCGGTGACCCCCAGCTTTCCTGCAACTTCTCTGGAGCTGAGAGGAGCAGCTGATATGTCTGACTGTGGCTGGATTTGGGGGTGCAGGATCACTCTTCTGGGGCCTGCCTTACCTCTTTCCCTCTCAGACTTCCATCTCATAAGATGGAGGCGTCTTCTGCTTGCCCCAGCACCCACCCTCTACACATCCGTGTCCATATATCTGGAGGGTGCCCAGGCGCCAACCCAGGCTTCTGAGACCACGTTCCCCACATTCAAATCTTTGCAAAGCGAGCAAAGCACAAACTCACAGGCTCGCCGAGGTGAGGTGAGGAGATGTTGGCCTCATGCCCCTTTTGCTGAGGAAGAAAACACAGGTCAGCAGCAGTGGGAAGAGGCCTGCGCCCTCTTGAAGCTTAGCAGGGTGTGTAAATGCCCCCCTTTGCCCCGCGCCTCCCTCATTCAGGGGTTACAGAGGGTCCAGGGATGGTAGGAAAAAGATCCACTGGCCTAGAAGTAGCACACGGGTGTGGTGTTACCTGTGGTGATGCTCCCAGCAAAGGGGACTGTGGGCCACTGCCTGTGTCGAAATCTGCAATGCGCCAGTGAAGGTAAGTGATGTCATCACCTAGCCCTGCATTTGTCACTTTGACATCAGTTCACCCCTGCCCCCTGTCTCTCCCACCACAAAACCTCTTTGAACCATCAGTTGTAAGGTCTGGCAGCCAAAGCACTGTTGCTGCTCACCTGCCAGCATTAAATTACCATAGAAACCAAATAAGGAAAGTAAGTCATGGGGGACCTCAAGGTTTGATAATTAGGAAGCATCTGTGCATATTGGATCCTGGGCTTGCCCTCCAGCACTGGCAAGGGCAGGCTGCCCACTGTGGAACTCTGGTGGCTGAGGGCATGGCTCTGAACACAGCCTGGAAAGGAAGATCCTGAAATGCATCCTAGGCTTGGAGATGTAGCCCGGTGGTAGGGTGCTTCCCTTGCATGTGTGAGGGCCTAGGATCAGCCCTAGCACCACAAAAACAAACAAAACTCAGAGTGGTCCAAATAGGAGGAGTCAAAATTATCTGTGATGACCCCTCTCTGAGCAAAGAGCACCCATCATAGCCCCCTTCCCGTGACCTCAGGCCTGCCCTCACTCAGCCTGTCTTCTGCTGCCTGCCATATTATTCCCAACCCTCAAAGCCTGCCCCCATGGAGGGGGTGGGGTCAGCCTCACCTGGTGGCGTGGAGATGGTGGGTGAGCAGCTCCTAGAGGGTGTAGGAGAAGCTCCAGGGCTGAGGTTTGGGGAAACAGCTGTAGAAACAAACAACACCTGGCTGGCATTCATGAAGGACTATGACTTCCACCATCTAACAAATGCTCCTCTCAGAGACTTCACCCCAGGAACCCAGACTGCCTTGTCAAAGTCAAGGGCTGGTTCTATTACACCCCAACTTTTGCTATGGCCACCTCAGCAGAGGGACCTTCAAGTAATTTCCAGTATGGGGTCCTATTCCTTAGACTGCTAGGCCTGACCTCAGAGAACTTTCTAGAAACTGAGGACCTGGCATTGTTTGACAGGAAAAGCATGCAAGGCTGCACTTTCTAAATGTTGTAGGACCACTCTGATTTCAAACGCTTTCCTTGTCCTCCAAGATCATTAATCTAAAACCCACATCATCTTTGCTTTCAGGAAGGAGAGGAACCACAGCTCAGGGTGGCAGAGGGTCCTGGGAAAATCATCTCTCTAGCCCAGAATTTCTCTCGAAGTCTGTCTCTTCTCCAGAGTTGGAGAAGGAGCCTAGATGGCCTCCTCAGACCTATGCTAGGGAGATGCCTACCCCAGAGCAGGGTCTTCATCGGGAAGGTAGGAATGTTAGGCAGACTGTGTTGTGCAGGCCACAAAAGGGCCGGTGCATGTGGGAATTGCACAGGGTTTCTCTGTATGAGTGCTATGGACCTAGGCATGGATGAAGGAGAGATGTTGGGACCAAATAAGAACATGGGTGTCATCTGGAATGGTATTTGTCCACCCATGGGGAAGGCCCAAAAGCAAACACAGGAGAGTTCTCAGAGGTAGAGTTGGCTGGGTGTATTAGAACTCTGAAAGCTGAGCACAATGGCTTCTCAAGGGGGCATCTCTGCATGGCTTAGGCCTTCTAGAACCTAAAGGCAAAGGGAACAGTCCACTTGAGGCCCACCCTCTTGGAAACAAGGTCCCTCTGCAGCTGGGGCCTGGTCCTCCCACACCTCCCCTCAGCCCAGCCTCAGAGGGGCTCAGGGCAGCTACCTGCCCTGCTGCTGGTCCTGCCCTACCTGATGGGGAGTCTCCGGGGCTGCTCCTTGATTTCCTCCCGCGGCGGGTCAGGAATCGCTCACTCACCGACTTGGCTTCTTCCAGAAGTGCCAGGTTTTTCTTCTTGTCCTCCTCTGAGATGCTGATGTCTGGCAGCTGGTCATTTACCAAGTCAATGACATGTCCTGTGGGGTCTGCAGAAAGAGAATGAACTTCCAGTGACAACCACCTCATCTTAGAGGTCCTGCCACGTCAGAACTCAGCTATATAGCCATGTCAGGATGGAGGGCATGGAGACAGACAGTGGCTTCCTCAGTAGGCCTGGCTCCTTTGGCTTCTAGCCTCTGTCAGAAAGGTTCAGGAAGCACACTTTGGTTCCAAGAGCTGTCCCAACTCTGCCTTCAAGGGAGTCCTGCCTTCATGCTCTGTTTCTTTCCAAGCTAGTCAGTGGGTAGCTAGGGATGAAGCTCAAAGCTGCTGTCCCGAACCCCAGCTGCAATCCCATGGTCACCTTTCTCTTTTTCCTGCTTATCCTTCCCCAAACTGCCCCTTCTCCAGAAGTGCCCTGGATGAGCTGACTGGGTGGCACTATCTCCTTGCCAGGTGCTTAGGGAATAATGGTCACTCTAGGCATCCCTTCTTCTTTAGTTTCCATGTCCAAGACCTGGCCCAGGCATAGCATTTACCTATAAGTATCCTCGGGACCTGTCCCTGTTTCTATTCCTGTTTACAAGCTCTTACTTAAACAGTTCCATCAGCCCCCTGAGAAGCCCTTGTCTTCAAGCCAATCTCTGCCCCCTGGTCTATTGCCTATAGAATGACCTTTCTGGCAGCCATATCCGATCATGCTGTTCTCCTGCCTCATCCTATGGAAACTACTCAGAGTCCCCAGCATCACATCTAAACAGATCACCAACTTTGCTGGCTCTATATCCTCCTTCCAAGACCTTGTCCTGACTCTAGCCCTTCTGTGGTTCACTCCCAGTCTGCCTCCCCTGCCTCCAGGCATGCCTCTTCCGGAAGTGGCTCTTCATCTTCACTGGGAGAAACCCTCTGAATTACCATTAAACAACTCAGGAAGAGCTAGCCATCCCCACCCACAACTCTGCATCAAGAGCCAAGGTTAAGTGGGAGTGGGTCCCAAACCAGCTCTGGCCAGTCAAGCAATGCCATCTAGGCGGCCCCAGGGATGGGCTAGGAGGCTAGTGAGAAACCATCATGGGAACTGAGAGGGAAGAAGGGCTTCACAGAAGAGACAGAAGTGTGGAGGTGCAGCCAGCCATTTGTTCCCATGAACGAAGCGTCTTCCCAGGAAGAAGGCTTGCACATTAAAGGAGATGAGAGACGGAACGGTACACTACCTAGCAACCCAAATGGGGTACCTGGATCCCACAGTACCTGAAATCATAGCCCCTGAAGGAGGAGGAGAGGGTGGTGGAGGAAGACAACAAGGAGAGGGGGAAGAAAGAGGGGGAGGGGACGGGAAGAGGACCTTATTATTTTAGAGCAAGCTAATATGAGGCTCCATCCTTTGCAGCGGTTGGGACACATAGACGCGGCACAGTATTCAGGTGTTTGGCTGCTACAGGACTCTGGGGTGACTCCAGCTTCCTATCACATCTTTTCTTCCACCTAGAGCACCGATCTCCCTCCTGTGTGTCCATCTCTTTAAGGGGAAACTCAAATACCACTTTCCTTGGAATGTCTGCACATCTTCCCTCTTCCCTGGGAGGAGTGGGCCCCTTCTTACCTTGGATTCCTTAGTTCTCCCATGAATGGGCCTTTAGCAACTCTACTGGCTCATTTCCTGATCCCCTTATACAGTGTAATCAACACTGAATACAAAGACCAAGTCTATGTGACCCCTGTCCTTTAATGGCCCCATGAAGGTATGAAAAACCACTAGTAGGAACCAGCAGGTGAGCACAGGTACCAGCCTTTCACATGGACACACTCCCACCTGGATGTCACCTGCCCAGTACAGCCCCCTGACTCTGCCCTTGAGACCAGTACTGAGCATCACTTGTCTGTCTTCTCTGACTTCTTCATCTTCTTCATTCTGACATTGAAACTAGACATCATTTCTTCTGGACCCAAATATGGAGAGGCTGATCTCCTCTACCCTTTGAGCTTAGGAGAGGAAAAGAGGCTGAGTCCTACTAAGCGCAGCCAGTTCACGCTTGCTACTCAAATACATCCTCCTATTGACCAGCCCTTACCCACAGAAGTCAGCGAAGCTGTGGAGACCTTCAGATGTCGGTGGGAAAGCCTTCGGTGGGGGCTGGGAGCTCTGAAAGACAGTACATGGTCATCCTCTTAGGAAATCTACTTGGAGAAGTAGATGAGATGCCTCTACAGTCTCTCAGTGTCATCCCAGAGCATCATCTTATGGGCACACATAGGAGTCCTCTGACTGTCACCTTAGGAGTGTGTTCAATGGATGAATTCCCAGGCCGTACTCCATTCCTGCTATGGGATATTCTGTATGGCAAATGTGTTGCTGATTGGTCAATAAATAAAACACTGATTGGCCATTGGCTAGGCAGGAAGTATAGGTGGGACAAGGAGGAGAATAAAGCTGGGAAGTGGAAGGCTGAGTCAGAGAGACACTGCCAGCTGCCACGATGAGAAACAGCATGTGAAGATGCCGGTAAGCCACAAGCCACATGGCAAGGTATAGATTAATGGAAATGGATTAATTTAAGCTGTAAGAACAGTTAGCAAGAAGCCTGCCACGGCCATACAGTTTGTAACCAATGTAAGTCTCTGTGTTTACTTGGTCGGGTCTGAGCCGCTGTGGGACTGGCAGGTGAGAGTGATTTGTCCTGACTGTGGGCCAGGCAGGAAAACTCTAGCTACACATTCCCCCACCTCAGAGCCCCTGGGAGTGTCATAGACTCAGCAGTTCTCTATGCCGTTCTGTTGCCCACTCAAGGTATCCAAGCCCGCTCTCAGGGCTGAAACTTTACTACAGTATTTACTGTACATGAGGACCCAGACTCTATGTAGAGCTGTCTTGTGGATCCCTTATGAAATAAACATAGGAGCTGGTAGAGACATGGATGATTTCTTTTTTGAGAGAGAAGATCAGAACATGGTTTCACTGCCCTGCAAAACATGAAGCTTTTATTTTGTTTTGTTACAGGGTTTTGCTGTATAGCCTTGGCTGTAGACCAGGCTGGCCTCAAACTTACAGAGATCCACCTGCCTCTGCTGCCTGAATGCTGGGATTAAAGGCACGCACTACCACTGCCCAGCTACATGTAGCTCTTTTTAAAGATTTATTTTTAATTATTTATGTGTGTGCATGTATTTGCAGATGCATGAGGAGGCCAAGGCATCAGATTCTCCTGGAACTGGAGTTATGGATGGTTATGAGCAACCAAATTTGGGTGGTGAGAACCGAACTCAGGTCCTCTGCAAGAATAGTATATGCTCTTGACTGCTGAGCCAACTCTCCAGCCCCATGAGGCTGTCTTATCTGACTTCACAATTTTATTCATTTTTCCACCCACTCCCACATTGATTATACATGTATTTTCATTTCTTACATCTTCCTTGGTATCCACTCTGTCCTTTTGCTTCTACCCTTAATTAATGGATACAGAAGGCTTTGACGTGCATACTCACTCTGGGTTTGTTTTCTCCCGGAGACAGGGTTTCTCTGTGTAGCCCTAGGCTGGTCTCAAACTCACAGAGATCCACCAGCCTCTACCTCCCCAGGGCTGGGATTAAAGGAGTGTGCCACCACACCCGGTTTCACTCTGTCTTACGAGAACCACCCTTTGACTAATGTGGGTGGTGTTGTTCCTCAAACCCAGGGCCTCGTACTTGCTAGGCCAGCGCCTTCCCATAGATCTGTATCCCAACCCCTGACAGTTATCTTTTAATTTTATTGTAAGTGATACCTAGACAACCTCATCCCAGCTAGATCAATGCAGGGACCCATGGGGAGGGAAACAGGGACAGTGACATCCCTGTGATGGTGATCCACTGTCACTTCCAAAGGATTATCTTCCAAGGAGGACCCGGTTTGTCCACAGCAGGGCTCTATAGTCACAGGCCCACATCTTCCAGGTTTGTTTGAGAATACCTGGGCTGATATTATGGACATTTTCCCTGCCATGATGTCTTGTGCTTTTCTTAAACTCTCACAGGGCCAAATATATGGGGCCAAATCCAAGAGCAAGAACTTCATTTTGGGAAAGAAGATAATAGAGAAAAAAAAATCCTGAATTCTTGTTCCCATTTTGAAAAGCTACGTGCCCATATTTATTTTAATTTTGAGATAAGGTTTCTTGTATCCCAGGCTGTATTTGAACTCCCCAAGGATGACCTTGCACTTCTGATCTCCTGCCTCTGACTGAGTGCTGTGGTTACAGGTGTACCCCACCATACCCGGTTTATGTGATCCTGGGAATTAAACCCAGGGCTTCATACAGCATGGCAAGAAGCAAGCTACCAACTGAACTATATCCCCAGTCCTCTTTATTAGTAAAGTGATTCGGAGAAGAAGAAAGTATCTCTAGAAATAGAGCTATTGGTCCCTCCGTTTTAGAAAGCATTGTTCCGGGCTGGAGAGATGGCTCAGCCGTTAAAGGCTAGGCTCACAACCAAAAATATAAGAAAGCATTGTTCCTCTGCCTGGGCTGCATACCTGTTGGTCAGGTTTCGGTGGGTTTCTCCCTCAGGTGAACTGGCATCCCCCGTCAGGATGATTGTGGGAAGACTGTGAAATGGTCCTGCGGAGGGAGAGTCCTGGTGGTTTAGAGCAAAACACAAATGGAGTTAGGCCTGGGCTGGGGGAACATGCAGGGCCTTGGAACTGCAGCATTTCCCACAGTGTGACTCCCCAGGCCATTGCCACAGGTCACCAACTCGGTATGTTGGTTTGTCTGTTTCAGCTTCCTGAAGGTATAATTGAGAAATAGAAATTGCATATATTCAAGGTGTGATATTTTGATGTGGAGTACATTATGATATGGCTACAGATGAGCGAATGAACATATGGACTACCTCAGTTCTCTCTCTCCCTCCCTCCTTTCCTCCCTCCTGTGTGTGTGGGGTGCACTGCCATGTGGGTGCCAGGAATTAATCCAAGTCCTGAGTCAGTGCTCTTGACTGCTGAGCCCTCTCTCCAGCCCCTCAGTTTCTGCTTTCCTTGAAACTGAGTAATAAGCAATCTCAGGTCCATATTTCTGCAAAGGAACTGTGGTCAGAATTCTAGACTGGCCTGGTTCAGTCATTCAGGCCTATGGACCCAAACCCTTCTGCTATGGCCTCTCCAGTGGCTTGGCGTGCCCTGCCTTTCTGGTGTACATGATATTTAGATTTGAAATCTCCCTGATGCTCAGGTTCTTGTTAATGAATCACTCTTGCTGCAGAAAGGCTAATCAACACTCCTATAACGTGCACAGGATTTTGTCTCAACTGAATATGTGAGCTCTAGAAATTCTCTTGTTGTGTCTGCCTTACTTAGTTAGAGCCCTCCTCATATGAATCCCCTGGCGAACAAAAGACGTATGTTGGCTAAAATTTCATTTTTCTACTCATGTATCATATGTGTTTCTGCCATCCTCATGGTGGAGCTTTTACAAATTCCAAGCATGCATTGGTGCTGAAGAAAAGAGACTTTATTTTAATTCACTGACACTCTGACTACTTCCTAAAGCAACCAGAACCAACCAACAGGAAAATATGTAATCATGAAAGGAAAATGAGAGGATGGGAAGTCAGTCCATGAGTGTGCAGTTGGCCATCGAAAATATTGCTTTACCCCAGGGCCACACCAAACACAGGCAGCATCCTTCCCATGTGCCACACTGCTTCTCCGTCTGTCAGCTCGTCTTTATTGGCACTTCCCCTGGTTTCTGGTGTGCTTCAGACAATATTCTTTTAGCACTCTATGCCGCACACTTCCTCATGGGGATGCCTCTTCCTCCAAGAAGCCCTGAATCCAAATGGGACAGGACACACAGCAAGAGGGAAGCAGGCTGGGGCAGCACTGCCCCTGGGTTCTTGTCCCTCTTCCTGTGGACCCAGCCTCCCCAGGGGTCTATCTCTCTTCTTCTGGGGGTCAGCCAACCTCTGTAGGGCTGTGCCACCTCCAGCAAGCTCACTCCAATCATACACAACAGGTCACATTTTGTTCCCCTCTAATAAATCTTATAGAAACATTTAAATGTTTATTTCACTCATAAATTCCCAAGGGTGCACGATAGTTTCCTATGCTCCTGAGCACAGGGATAAATATAGACCAGTGTCATAGATGGGAATACGAGCTTCAAATCCTCACTATCACATGACTAGGTCTGGGCTGGGACACTTTAAGAACAGCTCCAGGTCTAGCCCAGGCAAGTGTGGGGGTGGGGTTTCCATGATGGCCTTGGGTGACAGTGGGAGGAGGACCCTACTGGGTCAGTGTGAACAGGGAAGAAGCTGGGTGGACCTGCCATGGAATCCCAGCCGGGGGACCTCCAGAGAGAAATTGCATTTCTCTGATCTTCATGTTTATAAACAGCAAATGGAGCTAATACTCTCTAGACTGTCTTTAAAAACAAACACAGATAAAGCAATAAGAATGATGGCAGGGAGGGGTGGGAGGTGGGTGCACATTGTTTGACTATATCCACAGCCTCTCTGCTATAGCCCAGAAGGCAGGCAGGGACTCCCTTGGGAGAGGAATTTGTGCTCTTAAGACAAAATAAAAAGATTCTCGGGGGACAAACAAGAAAACGATGACTCCAGTGTCAAGTCCTAAGGCCATGGGAGAGAGAGGAAGGACTTCTGTTGGGCATGTGGCTCCTCCGTGCAAAGCAAAGAAAGCATTCTTTGTCCCACAATCCTGAAGGCTTGCTCCCTAGTGTATGCTCCCATGTGCCCAGGGCCCACTCTGATTCTGTCAGCCTCTGTCGGTGTCCACTCAGTTCCCAGAAGTCGGGGAGCCAGTCGTCAGAATTTCCTGCACTCTTCAGCCAGCCTGTTCTTACTCTCAGACCATCGCATTTCTAAAGTGTGGAGTGGTACACAGTGGGTGTTGGGCACGCTTTGTCATTCATCCACCACCATTTTCAGCCCTCCCTTCTGGATGCTATGCCTTCTTTCATGTCTTCCTCCCTTCAGTCTAACCATCCAATTACCCAACCTGTCACATGACCATCCATCTATCCAGGCATCCACCCAATCATCCATCCATCCAATCATCCTTCCATGCATGCATCATCCATCTATCCACCCAATCATCCATCCATCCAATCATCCTTCTGTCCATCCAATCATCCTTCCATGTGTGTATCATCCATCTATCCATCCAATCATCCATCCATCCAATCATCCAATCAACCAGCTTTTCTTCCTTCTTTCCTTCCTTCCTTCCTTCCTTCCTTCCTTCCTTCCTTCCATCCTTCCTTCCTTCCACTCTACCATACATGTGAGAAAGTTATGACCCCTGACCCCAGGTTGTTCACATTCAGTTTAACAGGGGAGAGAGAAACAGGACAAGTCACTCTGTTGCTCACAGTGGGAACCAAGGATGAACCACTGTGATATGCATTCCCGACAAGATCACCATTTCTGAAATGCTCTGTTTCGATCGAAGCAATCCTACAGCTCTTCTCATAGCTCATGTGCTGTGATAGTCTTCTTGATTCTTTCGCCCCAAGCCTCCTCTCCATCTAACCATAGAAGATGAAACATCAGTACCCTCTCCCCACACTTGAGGCCACTGCTGCTCAGTACACTGGCTTTATTTACAAAAGGAGACAAAGAAGGCAGGGTCACGTACACAAGGAATCTTCAGCTTGAATCCACACTTAACTGTGACATCACTATGTTACCTTTGACAAATAGACAATGCCTTGGGTCCAGTATCTTTATCTGTAACAAGGAGGAGTGATAATATCTATCATGGATCAATGAATAGCAGGTACCCAATAAAAATTACCTTCTGCCTTATTGATAACTCCTGCAAAGCTATTTCATTTTAGATCTTAATTGAGACTATCTTAGAAGGGTGTGATGTAGCAGGAATCTTAAAGAGTCTTTATTAATAAAACAAACCCGGAACCAAGTATTTGGGTGAACACTGGAAGATCAGAGAGACAGAACAAGCCACAGCTAACCTCACCTGGCCAACTTCTCAGCTGATGTTGTTTCCTTAGACTGGAAGCCTCTGTGTCCTCATATCTGAATGGGTCTCAGCTGGACTGTGCTGCTCAAAACTTAAAAGCTTAACCAGCCAAATGCTTAGCCAGGCCAAATGCTTCTAGTTTCTGGTCCTCATACCTTATATACCTTTCTGCTTTCTACCATCACTCCCTGGGATTAAAGGCTCACTTTCTGGGATTAAAGGCGTGAGTCACCATGCTTGGCTTTATCCTTGAACAGATAGATTTCTGCCTCTGGAATGCTAGGATTAAAGGTTTGAGTGCCACCATTTTCTAGCCTTTGTATCTAGTGGCTGTTCTGTCTCTGACCCCAGATAAGTTTATTAGTGTGCACAATATTTTGGGGAAGACAATACCACCACAGTGTGATGACCTAAATGAATGCTATGGTTCAAATATGAAATGTCCCCCATAGGCTCATAGGTTGAAGGTCCCCAGTTGGGGGTGCTGTTTGGGTGGGTACTGCAAACTTTAGGGGAGTGGAGCCTAACTGGAGGAAATTAGGTCAGCTCACCAATGTCCTAGTAGAATATGCCTTGGCCCCACCCCTTTCTTGTCAAGCTTCCTATTTCCTGTCTGTCATGAGGTGAGTGGCCTTGCTCCACCACATGCTTCCTGCTGGGACGTCCTGCCTCACTCTGAGCCCAGGAATAACAGGGACAAAGGATAATGGGCTGAAACCTCTAAAACCATGAGATGAAGATGAATAATTCCTAAGTTGGCCCAGGTATTTGTATCACAGCTATGGAAGACGAATTATTGAAGTGAACAAATACTCTCAAGGAAGATGACACCCGCGTCCCAGATGGAGTGGTTAAGTACTTCCAGTTCTGGAGGTGAGCGTGTACTTGGCTGCCCTGGGTGTTCACACTTGTAAACGAACAATATCCGCCTCCTGGCATTGTGAAGCTGCCTTGTAGTGAGTGCATACAACAGGGAGGGTGCAGGAAGATGGGATGAGGGGTCTCACCGGGTGGCTCTTGGGCGAATTCCCTGCTCTAGGAGGTCCATACAAGGTTACAAGGATTTTATATGCATCATCGATTTCATCCCCACCTCAATCCTGATAGAAGATTGGCTGTTTAGGTCCTATAATAGTTAGTGTTAATTGCCAACTTGATATAACTGAGAATCATTTGGAATCACTTGGAATATAAAACCCAAGTACTCTGCCATGCTGCTTACACCTATATGCCTGGGACCCAGAAGCATTCTCTGTCCCAGGCAGTAGGTATAAGAACTTTCTGTCTGCCTAGGGGGTGTCCTCTTACAAGAGGGCAGACCAGTGTGATGAACTATGAGCCCCAACTGCCTGAAGGGAAAGACAGGATGGGTCTTGACTACATTGACAATAACAGAGAAAGAACTTCTGATGTGCTATGGTGGCACTTACTAGGGTCTCCAATTTGGATCCCAAGAAGAGGAGCCTGATGGCTTTAAGACCAGAGGTTCCCAGGTCTCCACAAAAGGATTACCTCCTTAGAGTCTCTATTAGTTACATTTGTCACTGTTGTCCAAAATACCTGGCCAAAGTAGCTAAGGAAGGAGGGTTGACTGACTCATGGCTTGAGGGTACAGTCCATCATGGCAGAG